AGCCTTTGAACAAACATAAGATCTTATATTTCAACATTCTGAACTCGTTTTTTTAAAAGATCAAATTGCTGAGAAATTACAGGCATTTTGAGCTTTAACCTGCCTGCACACGGCTCCCACTTCTGTGCCCGCGTCAGAAGATGCCTCTGCCCCCTGCAGACCTTGGATTGCAGGGCTAGAGCAACCCCACTTAGAAGGCTCCATTTCCAGAGAAAATGAAGCATAAACTAACAAAGCCGAACAAATACAGAGGGATATCGGAGTGGATATAAAGAAATTCGGGGTACCCACTGTACAGAGAGACTGAGAGAGGCATGTTTTACGTCATCAAATACGGACAATACCTCCCTGCAGCCATGACCCCCAGCCTTCTACTGCCCGAGCCTAGACCAACCCTCTGCCAAGCCGCCAAGGATCAGGAACGCCCAAGGCACAGGCACGTACACTGAGGCCAAGGCCCTCCCAAGGCCCAGACACTCCCACTGAGGCCAAGGCCTGCCCTGAGGCCCAACCTGCCCACAGCCTGGTCACAAAGGCCCAGGACCAACCAAGGCCCAAATCACCTAACCGCCTCGCGGCCCAGGTAGTCCACAGCCCGGTCGCCGTCGAGGTCCAGGGCCCCCAAGGGCCAACCTGCCACGTAGCCAGTTCGGTGAGGCCCAGGGCCCTGGAGGCCCAACCCTCTGCGTAGCCCGTTCACCAAGGCCCAGTGCCCCTGAGATCCAACCCGTCCTCAACCAGGCCCCGAAGCACAGGCCCCTCGAGGCCCAATCCACCTGATGCCCAGCTACTGATAACCAGGCCCCCTGAGGCCCAAACAGCCCACCCGAGGCCCAAACCACCCACCGGAGGCCCAATCCTCCCTGCAGACCGGTCACTGACGTGAAGGCCCCCAAAGGCCCAAACCGCCCGCCCTAGGCTCAACCCACCCATCCGAGGCCCAAACGGCCCACCGCCGAAGCCCAGGCCCAACTGAGGCCGAAAAAAGTTACTCTGAGTTAAGCAATAAGGAGAGTGAAAAGGGAAGACCACATCCTGATCACATCTTCCTCGAGATAATCAGAAAATGAACAATTACCAAAACACATAATTAATTATTAGGGCCACAGATAAACATTAAACATGTCCAAGAAGCAAAAGCAGATGACCATATCGGCACATGTCCAGAAAAAAGATAAAA